AATGTATATATATATGTATGTATATATATATATAATATATATATATATATATATATATATATATATTATATAATATGTATGTATGTGTGTGTGTGCGTGTGTGTGTGTGTGTGTGTGTGTGTGTGTGTGTGTGTGTGTGTGTGTGTGTGTGTGTGTGTGTGTGTGTGTGTGTGTGTGTGTGTGTGTGTTGTTTTTAAGAATTTTCTGAGAATCGACAAAAAAAAAACGTTTTGCATTACATTTTTTTTTTTTTTACCATCTCCTGTATGTACCTTTTTACACACAAACACACATACACGCACGCACACACACCACACACACACACACACACACACACACACACACACACACACACACACACACACACACACACACACACACACACACACACACACACACACACACACACACACACGCACACACACGCTCACATAGAGACACATACACACACATATACACACATATGTACTCACACACGTGTATGCACTCACGCACACGACGCACAAACCCACACACAATGTGTGTATGTGTGTGTGGAAGAAAATAGTAACCTGTATTTTTTTTTTTTATTAATATCTTCCTTTGGTTGATACAGCTATTCTTTGGCGTATTTTGGAAAACTGTAGGTATACAACTTGAAATCATTGACTTGAGAGTAAGTCTTAAGCCATTTTCAATATACCCAAAAATATACGCACGAATGAAATTCTATTACACAACTAGTATATCACCCAATTATAAATTTGGGACGTAATAATGGATATTATATAAATGACAAATATTTATGCATCAGCCCAATCAATAGAATAACCTCGTTAATCTTGGTAAAAAACAACGAGACTTCGAAACTCATTCGAACACTTTTCTTCAGAAAGAAAAACTACACTTGAAGCACCGTTCATGTCTTACATATTTTTAATATAATCGCATACTTATGTATTCTAGACTATAACATTTCTCTAAACTGTTTTCCTTTTTATTGTCTTTATTTCGTTAATTTTGACGAGGGAAGGAAAATGGCGGGAAAGTGACCGAGGTTATAAATAGGAAGTGACCCGCAAATCGTCATCAGACTGGATCCGGAAAGACAGAGGAAGAGAGCACGCAGTCATGAGGTAATTTTTATATATTTTTTTTTTTTTTATTGTTTTATTGTTAGTGTTATTAGTATTATTATTTTGAAGCAAGTTTGATTTTGGCATTTCCTAATCGCGTCTTTGGTGTTATCTTGATGCATCGTTAAAGAGATATATAGATACTTTAGATTGTATTTTGGACTTTTGTTTTGGATTTGTGGAAAGCGATTTTAACGTTGCTTCATATATATATTTATGTATTTATTAATTTTACTTTTTGGATGCGTGTTCAATGTCAGGCTACAGATTAACAAGTTTCCCTGTACATTTTTTTCACCTATAACTTCAAGGTAAAAAAGCCTTATTACTTTAACAAAAGTCTCAATGTTTTTATTCTCTCGTCTCAAAACAAAAGTTAACCTAACTGCTTTCATTTTTCTTTTAGATTTTGGCTTTTATGAGGGAAACTGAAGAGCTGGCAAAGTTTGTTTGTTGTTTCTGTATTTACGGAACTTATTTAGGAGGCTGAGGCTCTCCATTATATATTCCAAAAGTTTTAATTTCAAGACTTATGCATCTTGCAATTGACAGGTGCCAGGCATTGGTAAGTTTTATACACCTTAGAATTGAAAGGTGACAGGCAGTTGAAAGTTGGAAATATGTGAATGGCAATTCCCTTCTTTTGAATAGATTTATTTCGTCCAGCATTGGAGAAGGGTTCAGTAGGCCTATCTTTTTTTTGGCAGGAATTGCCAGTTGAAGAAATGAGGTTGTTTTGCAGGTTCCCCGTCACTTTCGAAGTCTTTGCCAGGGTGAATTCTAACCTTAAAACCGTCCCCAGGGTCGATAACCACAGCAGCGGACACAGGCGCGGCGGCGGGGGAGGGCGCCCCACGAGCTACACCTCGAGCCCCCAAGGACGACCGCGAGACCCTCGACAACGACTCCCGCGGGAGGGGGTGGAGGGGGAGGGGGTGGGGGTGGAAGTCCCTCGTACAGGCGCTCCTTCCACCACAGGGCTCTCGAGATAGCCGGCCCCGAGAGTCCTAAGGAATCGGTGTGTCCTCTGGGCCCCCCTTCTTCGTCATCCTCTTCCGCTTCCTCCGCCTTCGAACACGAGAGAGTAGGTGCCGGTACTGGCGTCGGGCCAAGGGCGAGCGTGCTTCCGTGGCGGGCCGACCCTCGAACCTCCTGCGCTACAAGACGGAGCTATGCAGGACCTTCGAGAGAACGGGCTGTGCAGGTCGGTGTTCCTGTCGTGGTGGTAGTAGACTTTGCTTTTCCTGTCTACCTTCCTCCCCATCGGCCGTGTTTTTTCTACCCCGCCCCCCATCCTTTCATCCCTTTCCTCATTGCACTAAAGGTTCTTCAGAGTGAGAGGCGTGTTAAAATGGGCTCGTATATATGGCTTGAATGTCGAAAATAGTGCGTAGCTTCAGAAGAACCAGTTAAAGTGGAGATGGAAGTTCACACATTCCTTCTCCTTCTGTCTGCTTGCTCCACCTCCCTTGAAGCGAGATCCCCGAGAGGAAAAACAGCGTGACATAAGGATCAGGTTACACACGCGCACTTTCACGCGAGCCAGGAGGGGGAGGGGAGGGGAGAAGAGGAGGGGGTTGAGAAGGGGGAGTCAATGCATGCTCCTGCCGGCTTTATCAGGTCTTTTGTTTGGTGCTGTCAAGTGTTCGCCCCTTCTGCTTTGCTTCTCTCCACGCCAGTCCCGCCCTGTGTCTTTTCCCATGTTGAACGGGTGGAAGTAGGGACGTAGATGGCATATATATAGGAGGGTAAGTATCCTTTTTGTTGTAGGCGGTGGTGGTGGGGGGTTGGGGTGGGTGTGGGAGGTGGGTTTTGGATTGATTTTTTTTCCATGTAGGTGATTTGTAAGTAGTGAAGGCTTTGAGGTGGTCATGATTTTGATGGTAGTTCCAGAAAGGGCTAGGGAGGGCTATTGAATGTGTGCTTGAATGTTAGTCGGTTTGTTTACATAGGCCTGAACAGTTTTCTTTCCACTGAAAGATCTTCGTTGGTGTTAAATGAGCTTGGTCTATAGCTAATTTTCCCTTTTCCATCGTCTGTAATGGGACACATTAGTTACATACAGTATTTCTCAATACGTGTTGTATAATTTTTTGAAAGACTGATAGGTTCTAGACGTTATCATGAGTCTTAGTGCTTGTATCAAATTAATGTTTTGACAAGGCCTTATCCTTCCTATGCCGAGACTATGTAATATACATGGATTTCATCTATGCAGTGTCTACAACTTTCATATTCTGAAATAGCTGTTCATTACCCTCCTCTCCCTCCCTTCCCCTGGCTCTGTCCCTCTGGTCTCCCTCCCCTCCCCTTCCCCTGGCTCTGGTCCTCTGGTCTCCCTCCCCTCCCTTCCCCCTGGCTCTGTCCCTCTGGTCTCCCTCCCTCCCCTTCCCCTGGCTCTGTCCCTCTGGTCTCCCCCTCTCCCCTTCCCCTGGCTCTGTCCCTCTGGTCTCCCTCCCCTCCCCTTCCCCCTGGCTCTGTCCCTCTGGTCTCCCTCCCCTCCCCTTCCCCTGGCTCTGTCCCTCTGGTCTCCCTCCCTCCCCTTCCCCCTGGCTCTGTCCCTCTGGTCTCCCTCCCCTCCCCTTCCCCCTGGCTCTGTCCCTCTGGTCTCCCACCCTCCCCTTCCCCTGGCTCTGTCCCTCTGGTCTCCCTCCCTCCCTTCCCCTGGCTCTGTCCCTCTGGTCTCCCTCCCCTCCCCTTCCCCCTGCTCTATCCTCTGGTCTCCCTCCCCTCCCTCCCTCCCCCTGGCTCTATCCCTCTGGTCTCCCTCCCCTCTCCTCCCCTCCCCCTGGCTCTATCCCTCTGGTCTCCCTCCCCTCCCCCTGGCTCTATCCCTCTGGTCTCCCTCCCCTCCCCTCCTCCCCCCCTGGCTCTATCCCTCTGGTCTCCCCCCCTCCCTCCCCCCCTGGCTCTATTCCTCTGGTCTCCCTCTGGTTCCCTCCCCTCCCCTCCCCCTGGCTCTATTCCTCTGGTCTCCCTCTGGTCTCCCTCCCCTCCCCTCCCCTGGCTCTATTCCCTGGTCTCCCTCTGGTCTCCCTCCCCCTCCTCCCTGGCTCTATTCCTCTGGTCTCCCTCTGGTCTCCCTCCCCCTCCCTCCCCTGGCTCTATCCCTCTGGTCTCCCTCTGGTCTCCTCCCCTCCCCTCCCCTGGCTCTATTCCTCTGGTCTCCCTCTGGTCTCCCTCCCTCCCTCCCCCGGCTCTATTCCTCTGGTCTCCCTCTGGTCTCCCTCCCTCTCCTCCCCTGGCTCTATTCCTCTGGTCTCCCTCTGGTCTCCCTCCCTCTCCCTCCCCCTGGCTCTATTCCTCTGGTCTCCCTCTGGTCTCCCTCCCCTCCCCTCCCTGGCTCTATTCCTCTGGTCTCCCTCTGGTCCCCTCCTCCCTCCCCCTGGCTCTATCCTCTGGTCTCCCTCTGGTCCCCCCCTCCCCTCCCTGGCTCTATTCCTCTGGTCTCCCTCTGGTCTCCCTCCCCTCCCTCCCTGGCTCTATTCCTCTGGTCTCCCTCTGGTCTCCTCCCTCCCCTCCCCTGGCTCTATTCCTCTGGTCTCCTCTGCTCCCTCCCCCCCTCCCTGGCCTATTCCTCTGTCTCCCTCTGGTCTCCCCCCTCCCTCCCCCTGGCTCTATTCCTCTGGTCTCCCTCTGGTCTCCCTCCCCTCCCCTCCCCCTGGCTCTATTCCTCTGGTCTCCCTCTGGTCTCCCTCCCCTCCCCTCCCCTGGCTCTATTCCTCCTGGTCTCCCTCTGGTCTCCTCCCCTCCCTCCTCCCCCTGGCTCTAATTCCTCTGGTCTCCCTCTGGTCTCCCTCCCCGCCCCTCCCCTGGCTCTATTCCTCTGGTCTCCCTCTGGTCTCCCTCCCCGCCCCTCCCGCCTGGCTCTATTCCTCTGGTCTC